GAGAGAGAGAGAGAGAGAGAGCTTATGTATGCATAACATTATTCAGGAATCATGAATAACATCTGCATATAACAGTATTCACAGATAACATAAGTTGTAACATTGTTCGAACATGACAATTTTTGTGAATAATACTATTCCGGGTAACATTATTCACAAATAACATTTTTATAGTATAATAATTTTTGTGAATAATGCTATTCATATATAAATTGTTCGTGAATAACATTATTTTTGTATAATATTATTCACAGTTAGCATCATTAACATTTAACATTAGTTGCATATAATATTATTTACATTTAATATTAAAAAAATATAGCGGGGATGTTTGAGTAACATCAAAATAATTATTGTTTAATGTTGTATTGGTGCTTGTTATGTTCTACACACCACTTTGACATTTTCTTATAAAAAGGAAAAATGTGGGGATGGAAAGTGAGTGAGGTCCACCAAAAAATGATATATTTCATGGTGGATCCCATCACTGTTCCATTGGTTTACTGGATGGTGACGATCCAGTGGTTTATGATTTTTCCATGTCCATCAGATTATATTATGCTGTTCCTTTTAGCTGTTGGAACACGTCTGTGATTCTGGTAGATTAATGGGATATGGGGTCAGCTTTGTAGCATGTAGTGGTAACAAGCTTATTATGATTCATTCAAATGACTCAACAAAGTCATGCATAGACTTTGGAAAGTACATTATTGTCCGATGGACTATAGAACACAATAGAGTATTGGGTTCATCTGCCATATTATGAAATGATGGTATAATATTGTCTGATGGAATATATTATAGGTTTTGTCTAGGCACAAGGGCAGTGAATTGGAGTTTTGAGAATGTTTTGACTTTTCTGAAGCTAGTTTTGAGAGAAATTGTTCAAATGCATAATATTATAGAGGCTTTTGATTTTTTAGTCTCCATTGACTGACTGTGATTGTTAGTAAGAGTGAATTAGCTTATCCAGGTAGAAGTATGGTCATCTTTGTGACCTCCTTACCTGGATTTAAACTTGATTTTAGGATGCCTAGTTTATTGATGGATTTATTCTATCTGTTTCCCCATTTTCCTTTCATTGTAATTTTATTCTTTTACTGGTTCTCAAAATATCACGTATATTTGTGCAAATTTTATACATGAAATAGTAGTGGTAGGCTTGTTGCATTTTCACAAAAAAGGTCGAGCACGCATTTATGATTTTATGGGAACATATAATGTGCACATGTTTATGTATTATTTTGTATGCACTCTCGCTGCATTTTGTGCATATTTTTCTTCTTGCCCAGATGATCTTATCACTTGCCCGAGGTAAGTACCTGGATTTCTAAGTGAGGTGTCTTCATCTTGCCGTGGTTTATCATTTTACTCCCGAAGAACATTGCTTGACAACAAATAAAAAAGTAATTCATCAAGGCGTATTTGTGGACTTACGTCACCATCTAATAAGACATATTCGTGGACTTATGTCACCATCTAATGAATGTTTGAGTGGCTTTTGGGACCAGCCATCTTCTATTGCTTTGTGAATTTCCTTCATTCCCATTATTCTGACGGTGATACTACTTGTGTGATTAAGCAGCCATCTACAATCGAAAAATCTCTTGGAGATTGATGAATGAAGCTGCAACCTCTTTGTTGGAGCGACACTTTTTGCCCAGTTACCTTTGGTCCTTAATTTGTAATGATGACCTATGAGAATTTTCCGTTGGATTGCTACAAAGAAAGTGATATTCAGATACAAATATGATGGTTATGGTTAAACCTACATATGGCCATATGTTCACAGAAACATACGTACCTAACCTTATAAATACATATGTGCGTGCACACATACAAAGTACCTTCACTGGGCCAGTGAGCTTTATGAGTCTTCATGGGTAAAAGCTAGAGCGATTTGAACTCCTTCGAAGTTTCATCTCTTTTATATGTGCCTTGAATTTTGTAGGATTTAATTCACCACTTTCTAGGTTGGAGACTGGCTCATTGTGAGCCTAGCAGGGCCGAGCAGCCTTGTCAGTAGGCTTGACTCGTTGATGCCCTTATTTCTTACTCCCCTGATTCCTTTCTAATTTGTATACGTCTTTCTTTTGTGGTTGTATGACCTGACGGCATGGGGTAGATGCATTCTCTTAATAAATGTTAGCTACTTTCACACACACATTTGAATAAGCATGATTCTGGGTGACACTCATCTACTGTATGAACTATGAACTTTGACCATTATGTGTTGAATTAGTTATATGTGAAGTTTGTGATTATTGGGACTTTAGGGTTTCCTCTTGGCCTTCTTCCATGCTTTTTGGGACTTGCTGAAACCTGAACTTATGATCATGTTATGTGGATTCTTCGAAAGTGGAAATATTAATAAGGCAATGAACTCTATATTTATTGCCCTAATCCCACAAAAAGAAGAGGTGGAAGATGTGAAGGATCTCAGTCCAATTAGTCTCTTATGTAGTGTATTCAAGATGGGATTAAAGGTAGTGGCAAGTACATCGCAAAACGTGTTGAATGAAGTTATTTCAACTCAACAGGCAACATTTATGAAAGACTGACAAATCCTTGATGGAGTGCTTGTAGCTTATGAATGCTTGCACTTGAAATACAAAGTTCAAGTGCTGGAGTGCTTGTAGCTCATGAATGCTTGCACTCGAAATACAAAGTTCAAGTGCTATGCAATCCCTAAATGGATAACGTGGACTTATCTTGAAAAAATTGTGCAGCTTATGGGATATGGCCAGAGATGGAGGATTTGGACTAAGTGATGTTTATGGAATATCTACTGGATCTCCTAACAGCTATTTTTGAAGCTCAAGAGTCCCCAAGGCAGGGCGACCCTTTGTCTTCATTCCTGTTCACGTTCATTGCTGAGACTTATAGTGGCATGTTGAAGGGAGCATGTGCTGCTGAAATTTTATGGTTTAAATCCTCTGCAAAGGACAATTATATCCCGTTTGTAGTGTGCAGAGTATACACCTATTTTTTAATACATCAAAAACACAAATAAGGAATTTGTGGTTGATATTGAGACTGTTTGAAGTTGCTTCAAGTATAAGAGATGGTGAGCCATCTTAGATTTGGAATTGATAGAATGCCTAATAAATGCCGTTGGTTGCCTGTCTTGTGGAAAACCAGCAAACGCAATTTATAGTGGAGTTATTGAGGAATTTGACAGGACAATGGCTCTTTGGAAAATTTTGGATTTGGCCTTGGGAGGAAGGCTAACACTTGTAAAGTCAACACTGATGAATCTGCCAATCTATTATAGGTCGCTGTTCACTGTCCCCGGTTCAGTTGCAGACAACAGTTAAAAAAATGATGCAACTATTTTCTAGGGGGATCATTGAACAAAAGAAGGATGCAATCTTGTCAGATGGGGTAAGTTACGTCTTCCAAAGAGTAGGGAGCCTAAGAATCTTCAGAATCCATGAAGCAGACAATGCACTATTGTCTAAATGGTGGTGGAGGTGGACGCCCAAACAATTTATTTATGGGTACCTGCAGTGTAGAGTGAATATGGCAAGGTTGAGGAAGACTGGTATGTGAGGATGCAGTCTAAGAGGAACATTCTATTAGATGCATGGAATGGGATTAATAATTGCTGGCAGGAGGTTATGCAGAATATCAAAATCCAGGTAGGGAGTGGGAGGAAAGTGGGGTTCTGGTTTGACCCCTGGCTGGGATGGCATGCTGTTAAGGTGTACTCCATGGGATTTCCTTGAATCCAAAAAAACTAAAGTGTACACTGTCATAGGTTATCAAAGGAAGACGTAGTGGATGTTCTGCTTAGTCTGTTTTCAAAGTTGCAGAAAAGGGATTCTTTAATCCCAAGAAAGAAATTCTGTCTTTGGATGCCCAACAGCATGGGGAGTTTGTCTGTAAACCCATGTGCAGAATACTCGCTCAATGTTCAGAAGCATATGCTGTGAGCCTGTGACCGGTATGGTGTAGCATATTCCTGCTCCTCTGAAAATACCGTTCCTATCTTGACTAGCCACAATCGATAAAGTGTTTAACAGTTCACAATAGGAGCAAAGTTATTGTATTCCCTATGTTTGTGCGATGTGCAAACAGGCGTCTGAAGCCGTAGACCTTCTATTCTTACTCTCTCTGGAAAAGAGCCCTACATGGTCTTATCTCTTATGTTTTTAAACTTATTAGGCTTGAGTTGGGCCACTGCGGCCTCAGTTGAGACATTATTGCACAGTGATATACACCACCATCTCCTACAGCAGGTGTCATCCAGTGGAGGTTGACTTTACCTGCCATATTTGGGCTGGCGTGGGTTGAGTGCAATGGTAGATGCTTCAATGATTGAAAGCAAGACGAGTTTAGAAGAAGAGAACAAGTTAATGCCATGGTCATAGCATTACGAAAACTAATCCACAATTTGGGGTTCTACAACGAGTGATTGTGAGAACAAATGGGTGGAAATTGTAAATGGCAAATGAAAGAGAGGGGGAAACTCTATTAAGTGGATGCGGCCACTCATCGGGCCAGCTAAGCTAAAATTTGATGGAAGTTTGAGAGGTAAACCAGGTAAACTGGGGGATGCTGATGCTGAAGGGTTGGTGTGAGATGACCAGGGCAGAGTGCTCTGCTAATTTACTCTGGTCAATGGCATCATGCACAATTCAATAGAGGCTGAGGCTTGTGCCCCATTAGCGAGTCTTAGAAATTTGACCCCTTAGTGTGAGTAGGATCATTTGTGGCGGTATTCTGCCCGAGTGATTTCTTGGGCGAGTGGAAAGGACAAATGAACTTGAGACTAATTAACATATTCTAAGAATTTGCTCATCTTTCAAGTAGTTGAGATATAGAATTCCGACATACTTGGATGTCTAATAAGTTGGACTTTCAGGCCAAAAGCAGGAGATTCAAAGTCCTCTATCTTAGTGACCAATTTTGTTAATAGACCGATACAGATCATAGATTGAGGTGAGGCGTATACTCATTATAGGTTTGGAGTGATGTCAATCATGTGCATAAATAGCTTTCTGGTCTGAAGTATTGTGAAGAGAATTTTGAGTGTACATGATATATGCAGTTGCAAAATTTTTTGAATCAATAGAGTTCAGTTAACGTTAAAAGAAATAGTTTGTCGGTCATGCATCTAGAGTGTTTTGGACATTAGATTTCCATGCCCATGTGAAGTATATGTAAGAGATATATTTTCCTGTGTTGAAATTTATGGAATGCTTGTTCTTTTATCTATTGCCTGCCATTGTCTTACCTAAGAGTTTGTATTGGATGTTTTGCTTGTTACATCTTCTGGAAACTGACATTTTGCATGTGTTGTAGAAAAACTTCTTGTTCTGCTTCGAGATGGACGCAAACTCCTTGGAATCCTTCGCTCCTTTGATCAGTTTGGTAAATGTCTCTAAGTTACTTATCATCAGTTCAGTTTGATGCATGGATGCACATGCATTTTCTCTGATATTTGCTAAATTGCTTGTGTTGCCTGATCACAGCAAATGCTGTATTGGAAGGGGCTTGTGAACGGGTGATTGTAGGAGATCTTTATTGCGATCTGCCACTAGGCTTATATGTGATTCGTGGAGAGAATGTCGTCCTTATAGGCGAGCTGGTACTTGATTCCCTTTGTTTCATCAGTTCATTTAGGAAAAATATATATCACAATCCAGTGGATAGTGAAAAAAACAGTAGTCCATTGGGGCCATCACCCTTGGAGAGTGGGTCAACAAAACAGGACATGGGGTCCAATGGTGGTTCCCACTCTCCTGTCGCCATCCATTTCTGATGACCCCGTAGGTTATGGTTTTTGACTTTCCATTGTCTCTGGGACATGGTAATACTTCCCAACATACAATCTCATAATTTAGTGCACTTCTTATGAAAGGTAAGTTGTTTATGACTTTGCTCTCATATCGTATTTTTGGTTTCAAAATGAACAGGATCCTGAAAGAGAGGAGCTTCCAGCCCACATGACTCGAGTATCTGCCGTGGAGATAAAAAGGGTATGCTGTTTTCCTATTTTTCTGCTTTACCATCGTATTTAAAACCTGGAAAGTGTGAAACCCTTTTCAACTTTTCATTGCTGCCATTGAGGAATTAACTTTTGGAATTTTTCTGAAACTAGATCAGATTTCATACTGAAATATGTGGACAAAAAATATCCATGCACTCGATGTGACTAATTTATTAGCTGGCGATAGTTCTTGTCATTTGTTGAGAGCAAATATGGAAATACCATGTGAATCACAGGTGTTTTGGTTAATCTGATACCCCTTTATTTCCTTAGTGTGGTTGGTGATGATACTACCAAAAGGTTGAAACTACCCATGATTTGCATGCATATGTGCATGATTTAGCAACTAATTAAAACTCTATGCCCACAGAACAGATATACTATTGGGACCTATTATTCTTATATTGTTTTTTGAAATTGTTAACCTTGGATTATTCTTATATTGTTCTTGAAAAGTTGTGGAAGTTAGCGAACTTCACCAAACAAGTATTTTAGAAAATCTATAGATGAAAATATTTAGCATTTAGATTATGTGTGAATCAATACGTTATGCGCTTGTGAGTTGCCATATCATTGTGCATTCGGTGCGTGTATGTGTGAAATGAAGTTTGAATGTGTTTTGGGTGTGATGTTTAAATCCTGATATCATATTAGCTGGAAGTACATCATGGTTATGGCTGAAGTTTTCTCCTTGGTATAAGACTCCATGCTTCATGGCATAATTCTTTGTTTACCTTAGATCTCCTTAAATATTAGATGACTTCTTATTAAGTTCAAATAATATCCTGTTCCTTGTACTTTTTTCTTTACACTCCCATCATTTCATGATTTCAGGCATGAACCCATTTCCTTACTTAACATTCCCTTTTGTTCTTTTCTGAAAATGTCGCTTTTTGTGGCTGCATGTTAATGATTGTCAACTCTCTCCTTGTCTCGACCATAATTATTAAATTCATTTGTTTCTATTTTATCAGATTCATTTGTTTCCATGTTATTATTGCGCTCTCTTCATCAAATTATTTTTTGTTAAAATCATTTCTGCATTGTGCGCATGTGCATGTGTGCCTGTACGTGCCCACATGTGTGCATGCATGGCTGCATATGTGATTTTTATTTGTTCTTGATTTTATACAGGCCCAAAAAGCTGAAAGGGATGCCAAAGACCTAAAAGGTTCAATGCGAAAGAGGATGGAGTTTCTCGATCTTGATTGATCCATCCATTCTTGAATTCCTTCTGTGTTGAGAGCTGGGGCCCCAAGCCCTGTGCCTTTGGGTTGGCCCCATGTGTTCTGCCATTTTGGTGAGTTTTATGCCAAGTCTTTCCGCACATATTATCGCGGATGCTGCACATGGAGAGAGGCCACACAAATTTCCTCTTCGGTAAAAAAAGGATAAAAAAAAGAAGAAAGTAGTTAGAAATTAGATGGTTAGTTGTGATTTACTTGCATTGCTGCATGGCCAAATTTAGTTGTTTAAAACTTGTTCTTTGTATCAGGGTTGGTGATGGCTTTATGGGTTTCATTGAGTTTTTTATTAATCTATGGGTGATTTTAGTGAATAGATTGTTTTTAACTTTTTCATGGTTTATTTTCTTGGTGTAAGGTCTTTTCAGATGTGTTCTAGAGAGATTTTTGGGCAGGTTTTGAGCTTCCATCTCTCTCTTTCTCTGTCTCTCTCTTATCTCCCGCATTCTCTTTTCCATCATTGGTGGATTTTAGGCATTGGTGGAAAGTGAGGTACATAAGGGTGTGGTTGATTTTCCCAAAAGGGTTATCAAAACTCACCATTGGGTTTTTTGGATTGCCTCAAGACTACTGTTCTCATGTATCATCATTATCGTAAGTTTTTGTTTTTGTTTTGTTTTTCTTTTGAATGTTAAGCTGTTGTTCATGCTCTTATTATACTTGCCTGGAGGCTTCATTTGCAGAAATTATTAGCTTTTGTTTTTGCACTTCCTGGAGGCTTCTCTCTCTCTCTCTCTCTCTCTAGTTTATAGTACTGCCTATGGTTTTAACCTCCCTCTCTCTCTAGTTTGTAGCACTGCCTATGGAGTTTCTCTCTCTAGTTTGTAGTACTGTCAAGATCTCTCTCTAGTTTGTAGCGCTGCCTATGGAGTTTGTCTCTCTCTCTCTCTCTCTAGTTTGTAGTGCTCTCTCTCACGAAGTTTTAAGCATGTATTACTGTGGAAGTCGGAATATTGACTGTTCGGCGGCCCTCTCTCTTGGCTCTCACGGCTCTCTGTCTTACTAAGTTTGGTGCAAGGGAGCTTCGTCGATGACTATGCGCACTTACGCTCTGTGCAGGAGAGAAATGTAGTTTGTCATTTCTCCAATAAAATCGGTGATAATGGTGGATGCCTGTCCTTTCACTTCATATAACTAACGAACCGGCACTCACCTGATTTATGCCCCTCTTCAATGGTCAAGTGGTGTGATTTGGAGTTCGACATTTTGATTTTAGGTTTAGGCGGCCTAGCCATGTTCGCCCGGCCCCCCAAAAAAATAAATGAAAAACTAGGGGTGGAGCTAGGGCAGGGCTACCATGGCACTTGCCTAGTTTTTTTTTTTTAATTTTTATTTTGTTTTGGTGTTTTATTAGGGTGGGTCCTATAGAGAACCGGCGAGGTTGGGGCGGTTGTGCTTGAATTTTGGGGTTTACTGTAGAATTACTAGAATTTTTATTTAGAATTGAGTATTTTCAAAAGAAAACGGTGATTAGAGTTTTAAATACTTAAAATTGGACAATGGAGGTATAGGAGTTTTAAATACTGGAATTGGACGCGCAGTCTTGGTTTAGTTTTAAGGTTTTACTGGGGGAGTATGTGGCCGATATGCTCCTGCAGGACCATGTATTGTTTTATGGCTTTAAATCATTTTTATACTCGGCGCATCATTTAACTGTCCAAAAAATAACAATCTTGTCGTTTACGCGAGATGTAGCATTAGATGTAGGGCATGATGTATACGTTTTCTTCTTTAATTCTTTGCGTGTGTGATTACGGTTTCCTCTTCCTTGTCACTTATAGACATCCGATCTGGTCTGGGGCCCATGAGGAAAGAAGCTCATTTTCATGCCACCGACATGAGCCACAATCAGCCAAAGTCATCTCTCCCCCACCTTGCCGCACCATCACCCCCTATCGTAGCTTTTTTTTTTTTTCCCCAACTATTTTGGGTCCGTCAACATGATTAGTCTGCTATATATTTAGTGAGGTAATATGTCTCTATATCTTTCTCCCCTTCCTTCCTCTTCCTCTCCTTGGGGTAAATCTCTCTTTCTGTATCTCTCTTACTCAGTAGTATGAATGTCTCTCACCCATGCAGTCAAAAAAAAAAGTTTAGGTAAGGTTGCAACCTTAAAATGTAGAATTAAGATGAATTTAAAAAATCCATTGAAAATACTTGTTTTAATGTTAGAAAACCATCTGATTTAGTATCTCAATATCAAGATGTATGAATAGGAAGAAAGAAAATTATTTTGAGTAAAAAATTAATAGATCTAGTAACAAATTATTTGAACCGTCCATTTTCCAGATTTTTATATGTTTATGGATCTTCTTGATTTTCACCAATTTTTTTAGTTGAAAAATTTTATAATTAGTTAGGTTATTCTAATAATTGTTTATACTAAAATTACATCTTGGATAAACATGGTTTAAGGTTGCAACCTTATGGAAATCACACCCATGGTTAAATACTGTGTGCGCGAAAATCTTGTCGTGGAACTCTCTCTCTCTCTATCTCGCTTTCTCTCCGCCTTTTGAATTCATTTGACATGTCGGATGTGTCCCTCCATTTAACTCCCCTGAAAATGCCGTACGTCAGGCACTGATGTTCACCTTTTCCGCAGGGTGCTTGCATAGGTTGCTTGACATTATAGAATTCATCCTGAAACTTATGACAATTGACTACATCATGTGCCAATTCAGTGTCTCCCGGAACAAAAAGGATATCGACTACAAGCCCCAACACCAAATGATGACCTCATTATTCTATTTTTTTTGTTTCAATAGTATACAAGTTTTTAACCCTATAAAGGGTAAGCTTTCTATGCTAACCCTAGAGTATAAAAATTATATACTGCCCTATATCCAACTTTCTATTTTAAATGGAGGGTTAAGATTGCTTCAATCACAATGTCATGTCTCTACATTATTTTATTTTTAATTATTTTTTTTATATACTATTTTGACATCAAAATTGGACGTCCAATCCTCTATAAGCGAAAACTATAAAACAAATATTTTCAATAAAATAAAATAATCAAAATACCCCTGAAAATTTCAAGGGGTATTTTGATCATTATATTTTATCGAAAAATTATTTTTAATATTTTTTATAGGTGTACCCCAATGAGAAGATGGCACATACCAAATTTCATAGTCATACAATTTGTATAAAAAAAATTAAAAATAAAATACTTCGAGACGTCGGATCTAAGATCAAACGTTGAGTGGCTCTTGACCAAAATTGGATGGCTGGATGGTAGGGAAAGCATAGACCTTCTATGCTACAGGGGAGGTGTAGAAACTTTTCCCTCTTATAAATTAGAGCTCTTATTCACATCTTCGATAAGCTCAATAATAAATCTTTTCTAGGAGCTTAATGCCCAAATATATAAAAATATAATTTCTCACAGGGAATCAGAGTCAAATATTTTTTCGGCAATGTAATATGAACTAGTTTTCTTTTTCAACAAAGTATTTTCCGACATAAGACCCTTCACAGAATTTTCAGATCTGGGTGGGTTGTTGTTGCAAAAAAAAAAATTTGGTGCAATCAGATCTGGTATTTTTTTCTATCTACATTCTATATTCGGTCAGTTGGATCATCAAATTCTAGTATGTTGGTATTTTCTCTAACAAGCTTTTTGCCTTTCTCTCTTAGCTCCGTAAAACAAACTGCAAAGTTGTTTCTTCCTTGCACCGTCTGACAAACGTTTTTTTTTGTTTGCATCGCGTCTACTTGAAACTTGACCTGTTTGAGTTTCTGTCATTGCCCTTTTGAAACTTAACTTGAAAACACCCTTAAAAAATAATCTTATGTTGATGACCAAATTTTCTGTTACTCGGTCATGTCTATTCTAGTCTACGACCGACTGAATCTGTATTGGATCCACACCGACTTCTGTTGGCTCTTCTATATGCAATTATGTTTTCTTAGCTGTCTGGATGACTTTTTTTTTTGTCTTCAGTGAAGATCTGAAGTTTTTATTCATTGGTAAACTCTGATTTGCAGCTCCGTGTTTTGCCTTTTGTTTCTGAGGCTTGTTGATCAACTGCTCTTCTGTCGTTGATTTTTGTGTTTGTTGATCAAGCTTATGAAAATGTCCAATCTGTACCATCTGCTGAACAACCATCGAGTCGTGTTTCGACTATCTGTTCTGTTTCTCTTCCGAGTTGTGTTTCGACTCTCTGACATGTTTTGGATGTTACTGTTCTCAACTCCGAATATAAGGTCCAAATGTGCTTGTTGATCTGCTGTTGATTTTTGTTGGCTCTTTCAAGTGCTTTATATTTGATGATCGAATTTATCAATCCTAGTTGATGATCAAGTTTTCCGTTTGTTGATCATGTTTAAGGGTTGAGTTTTTCGTTACTCAATCCTATTGGATGATGGAGTTTTCTGTTACTCTATCCTTTGTGATGATGTTTTTTTTTTTTTCGTTACTTGATCTTGCATGTTTTAGAGGCATGTTGATTTGTTATTATGCGAGACTGCTATGTTCGACGCATCGATTTTTTATGATCATTAATTTGCAGCTATTCAAGCTTCTTTTATTCGTGCTTTATTTCTAAGGCATGCCTTCAGTTATCCAAACTCAAGTTGCTCTCTCTTAACGCATCTTCAGTTTAAAGGGAAGTATGGAAATTATAGAGACCTAGACTTTTTTTTTGGCGCAATATTTTCCGTCTTTTTATGTTTACCCATATTCGGAAGGTGGTTCATTGCATATATTACTTTCTTTAGTAGCATACAATTTTGTAACCCTATAAATTGAAGCTCTTATTCACATCTTCGATAAACTCAATAATACATCTTTCATGGGGGCTTAATGCTCAAATATATAGAAATATAGTTTATCACAATCTATAATTCCTTTCGTAGCTTTTTAAGGAAAAGTATAGAATGAGACCATTTATCATTGGTACAAAGTGGTCACAATTGATCTTGATCATTGGATGTAAACTTGGGCGGTTACATTTATTCCATTGACCAAATTCAAACTTCAAAAGAAATTTTCTTGAACTTTATGATACACCGAGGCTATCAAATTTCACATTGAATGGCTGTAATTAATTGTGACCACTTTGTACTAAAGGTAAATGATCTTATTGTATATAATCCCACGTTTTAATACATTGGAAGCTCCTTTTGAGAGTGAGAGTGAGAGAGATGGTCTATTTTCTATTAAAAAATGTGGTAGTCTCTTGATGGTTGGATCTCTTTAGAGTGCTTGACATAGGGACCCTAAAATTTTATATAATTACAAAGACGATCGGTCAACCTATTTTTATTTTTATTTTTCAAAATTGCCTCTTAGTCAACTCAAATTTTATTTTTTATTTTTAGTTTTTTTTTTAGTAGGGCAGTACTTTAAGCTTTAAAGCATTGTTCTACTAATGAAAAAACTAAAACAAACAAAAACTAGATGGACCGAAGAGCAATTTTGTAAAAAAAAAAAATTGACCGACCATCTTTATAATTTCCACATATAAGTGGAACATTTCGTAATTTACCTAAAATTTCAAAGTTTGTACATAAATCACTCATCTCTTTGTAATTAAGGCTACAAAAACATTCGAAATTTCTCAAATATATGAGAGAGACAGGATGAGATTGTCTGATCAGGTAATCTCGATGGTTGGATCTCTTTGTAATTAAGGCTGGGAAAACATTCGAAATATCTCGAATATATGAGAGAGATAGAGAGAGGTGGTCTCTTGGATCTCTTTGCAAATAAGGCTTGGAGAACTTTTCTTTAAAGTAATTGTGGTTGCTTTGGTAATTGACCAGAAAAAGGAATCCAGCCCTCAAAAAACTTCAGACGGGTTTCTCTGAGAAGATTTTTCTGCTGTGTTCGTAATTCAACAAACAAATCAACGGCCTTAACACCGAAAAAAAAAAAGAGAAACAAAGTTTAAGCAATCTCTCAGTCATCATCATAAAAGAAGATTGACCATTAGGATCCACAACATTTTACAACAATATAGCCCCTGTCATCGCAAGCACAATGAAATATTGTAGGTTTGCAAGTGGACAGGGTGACCCACGCGTTCTGGTCCAACATATGTGGTGCATGGGCTGGGTACTGATCTAGAAATCCTAGCCGAGGCCCGACAAGCCCGATCAAACATAAAGGACGGGCTCCTGACCGGTCCTAAAACTTGGTGGGCCAGTTTTGGAAAGGATGACACGGGCCGAGTACTTGGCCTTAGTCCGCGTAACTTGGCCGGAGTTGGGCCGACTAGCAAAAAAGTGTTAAAAAAACACAAAATACAGAAAATCTTAAAAAATAGAAAAATACATTTACAGTAAATGAGGTAAAAATGGCAGTGGAAAATGGATTTTGAAAAAGTTAATTTGTGATCGGAAGTATTTTAGAAATAATAAAATAAGGAAATATAAAAATAAGTACGGAAAAAGTTGATATAAAGTTGCAACCTTAAAATATAAAGTTAAAGTTGCACTTCATAAATCTATCGGAAAATGTTGTTTTAATTTTGAAAAAAACACTCTAATTGTTTATTTTGGCATCGAGATGTATGAATATAAAAAAAAATAAAAAGATTTTGAGTCCTAATAAGAGTGCATCTTGCAACACGTTATTTAGACCATCTATTTTCAAGATTTTTATATGTTTATAGATCTACTTGATTTTAATCATTTTTAGAGTTTAAAATTTTTATAATTAGATATGAAAATAGAATTTCAGATAATCTTAATAATTTTTTACACCAAAATTACATATTAATGTTGATGATAAAATTTGGGGGTGTGCGATAATTGGATTGTTTAAGGTTGCACTCTTATAGAAACCACACCTAATAAGTATTCATGATCAAAATACTTTCAAATCGTTAGATAGCAAACATAAAAAAAAGACCACATTACAAATAAATTTCTTATTTTATTTTTATTTTTATTTTATATTTTTTTAAATTCTTTTTTAAGATCGACTCCCGAGTTGGGATACTCGGACGCGTCAGGGTAGCGAGCCAAAGTTATTCGGACGAGTCCGATCGGTCAAACACTAAGCTGGGAAATGCTATGGGCCCGGGTTCGGCCTAGCCCAACCGCAGCTCGGGCCATTGCCGCCGTAAGACATTACGTTCCACTCTCCTCGTTTGTGAGTCCTTCCTTAATTGAAAAGGGGTATTTTAGTCATTAGACAATGTCCGACGAGTCCAGTTCTTACTTCTTAGTTTCTCTCTCTATAAAAAGGAAGCCGGCTTTCTCACTCCAAAGCTCAGTTTTGTGTAACAGAGCAGATCCAGGAGCTCCCAAGCTTCTGATCTGCCACCCCTAAAAATGGCGGTGAATTACCATCCTATCCTCTCTCTCCTCTTATTCTGCTTCTTCATTCTAGGGGCAAATTCCTCCGTGCATGAATATAAACAGGCAAAGTTCACGAGCAAGGGCAATGCATTTGTTGTCCATGGCGGAAGTGAGGGGATTTATGCATCACCCTTAAGCAACAATGAGAGTGCGTCGCTCTCTTATATCAGGTAATTTTTTCTCAATCCCATTAATTTGGCTTTCTTTTTTTCTCTTTTTTAGTGGAGATTCACATTGATTTAGCTATGTATTTAATTCTCTCTGAGTCGGGATTCTTCATCAATAGTATGTCTGTTTTCCTGTAAGATTTGCGTGATTTTTTAGCTGAAGTTTGTGTTTTGAGGGTTTGATTTGGTTGATTTATTGTTTTGGATCAGCAAATCTGTATAACTGGTGAAACTACTCTAAAATTGTCGTGTTTCCGTGGGGTTAGTTGCGAGTAGCTGATTTTAAGGTGTTTTGGGATTGCATTTCGCCAGTTTGTTCTATTGAATCGGTAAATCTTTGTAATCAATGTTGTTATTATGAAATGGTTGTGTTTCCCATGGATTTAACAATTTATAAGTCAACAACGTGTGATTCCTCTAGCGAAAAAAGATTTTCCTTATGATTTCTTTGCATTTCTTGTTATATTTTTATTTTATATTTTCATTATTACGGGCATGTTTGTTGATTTCATAAACTAGTGTTAGGGGACACAATTTGGTCCATGTTTCTTTCTTCTGAGCTGTTTAAATATGATAATTTCCATGGTCATTAGATCTACTCTTACTGAATGAGTCCAGGAAGTGGTAAGTTGCAAATCAGTCCAGTCTTGGTTGAGAATTCTGGGGATATTATAAAATTGCTTCATTTGTTTTTTTTTCAAAATTTTATTTGTTAAGGAAGTATCTACAGTTCTACACCCACCCTGGAATGAATCTTAAAAATTATTAATTGCAGTAAGGGAAGGGAAACTCTTCAATGACCTTGCTTTGTGCCCAGTGCATCAATGAGTATTCTGCTCACCTTGTCTGTGTATAAAGAAGGGGTGGATTTTGGATGTTCATCAATGAGTTCTTTTTCAGTTCCTATTGTTTTCTCAAGTTTGACTTCCAAAGTTGCAGTATCAAGTCCATGCCCTAATATCCTAGGTTGTGGTTTTACTCATGGACTTCATTATTGTGATTCATGATGAGGGATTCAGAAAATATGTAACATGCAGGTTTTTGAAATTAGCAGATGATACTCCTGAGAATCTACTTTGGAAATGCATAAATATTCAAAATTTGTTTGTTTTGACTTTCCATGAGATTCGAACCAAATAAGTTGTCATATTTGGGTCATATTGGTGATGATCTTAGCATCTGGAAAGGGCTTCCTTGAAGTTATTCATTCAATTGCTAGTCTGCTCAGATCTTCATGTACTTGATTAGATAAACAAACTATTGGATTTGTTCTTCGCTGTTTCCTGTATGACATGTTAGGATGCAAAAGGTTTTTGGCTCTTCGAGTAAAAAGGGACGTTGAATTCTAGTAATTTGGCCAGGAGTGGTATTCTTTGTGCAATTTCGGTTCTTATTGACCAGAGAGATGTCCACATTTCATCTTTCACAAACATTATAATGTTAAAAATATGTTTCTTTGATTTCCCTCTGCTGACTTTGCTCCCAAAACATGAATACAGATTTGAAAAGATCAAATTCAGAAGACCTAAGGAAGCAATAGCTGCTGGAGCTAAGGGCCAAACTGCACTTGTCCAAGCGATAGTTTTTGAGGTTGAAGACCGAGAGTCAATTGGTGGTTCTGCCTATGGAGGTCAAAGAGCTGTATGTTGCACAGCTGATCTTGCCAAGTTGGGAGCTTGTAAACAAGGTGAGATTATTTACCGCCCTTCTAAAACCAAGTCTAACTGGCCCCAGGTGTTCAATGTGCATTTCATAGATGACAACCTTTTGGCATTCATGGAGTCAAAAACCATACCAATTACGAGCACCGGAATGTATAACCTCTACTTCATTCACTGTGATCCAAAACTCAAGGGACTGATTATGGATGGCCAAACTGTTTGGAAGAACCCTACTGGCTATCTACCTGGGAGGATGGCTCCCCTTATGAACTTTTATGGGTTCATGTCTCTTGCATTTGTAATACTTGGGCTTGTGTGGTTCTCTCAGTATGCCAGGTTTTGGAGAGAGGTTTTGCAACTGCAGAATTGTATCACGCTTGTCATTGGTTTGGGCATGTTTGAAATGGCACTTTGGTACTTTGAGTATGCTGATTTCAACAAAACTGGGGTTCGACCAATTGGAATAACTATATGGGCGGTGACATTTGGTGCCATCAAACGAACTGTTTCTCGTTTAATCATTCTTGTGGTTTCTATGGGATATGGGGTCGTGAGGCCAACCCTTGGTGGTCTTACATCAAAGGTGGTATTGCTTGGAGCCACATTTTTCTTGGCATCTGAGGTGCTTGAGTTAGTTGAAAATGTGGGCTCCGTAAATGATCTCTCAGGGCAAGCATTATTGTTTCTATCTCTTCCAGTGGCACTTCTAGATGCTTTCTTCATTATTTGGATTTTCACTTCACTTTCCAGGACTTTGGATAAGCTTCAGGTATGTGGGTTCCAAGGTCATCTTGGCTTATTGTTAACAACCTTTTTCCGACAAAGAAATATGATCATCGGGCTTTGCTATTGTTGTTTTCTTTTACTTTTCCTCGTGCATAAAAATTCAGTCGTACTTTCAATATACATGGAATGATTCATGTCCCTGAATGCAGACAGTAGCAGAAAGATTAACATGATAATTTTCTAAAGCCTTCTATTTCTTAATGAGAACTCAGTGGCTTTGACTTTCACATGAGTTGGCAGATCTATTTTGAGTCTTGTTCAATACAACTGAAACTCAAAATACATGAAAATCATAAATAACATACACACACACAAGCTTTTGAATTTTGAATCCAGAACTGATCAGGATTCCTAGATAAGATCCTTTCTCATTATAAAATTTGTTTTTTGAGAACGATTTTTGGTTGAGAAACATCTTAAATACGAACTCATTCTTCAGCTCCTGACGGGAACTATTTGAAATAAGAAGTTTTCAAATTTCATTTTCTTATAATTATCTACAGAGTGTATGCTTGAATTATGATCTTATAGTAATCAATTAGACCCATTTCTCTATTTCATTTTGTCCATAACAGTCGAGAAGGATGATGGCAAAGTTAGACATCTACCGGAAGTTTACTAATGCATTGGCAGTGGCTGTTATAGTATCATTGGGATGGTTGGGGTATGAGGTATGGATTTTTTAGTTGAATACCTTTTTTTTATTTTGGATTGTCTATAGGTGTTCGAACCCAGCTTATCAACATAAACCACATGCATATGCCTATCTGTTCGTATATCCCTGTGTATGTATGTTTACATAAATTTTATTTTTATTGAGAATATTAACGGTTATGTATGTATGTTTACATAAAACATAAACACAACTACACACTCCTTTTGTTTCCTTTTGGATTGATTTATTGACTATTTTCGTAATTGAAGTGTTTTAAAAAGCGCTAGGCGGTAGGGGGGTCCAGGCCTCCCAAAACCTGAGCAGCCCAGTAGATTTTTTTTTTTTTGGATTCTCTCTTTAAAATAGCCTCTAATAGATTTTAGGTTTCAAATGAACCTACAACCCACAATTTTACCCCTTTAGTATTAAAAAAATGACTCAAAAATATCCTCAAGGAGCTACATTTCCGCCCCTAGGTGGGGTGCAAGCCCTGGGCGGCTGCTTTCAGGCGGACACCCAGGGATATCCGCCTAGGCAGCAGCCCAGGTACTGGGCATCTGCTTTTTTAAACAGTGTTATTGATGATAAGCATGATTCAACTCCATTGAGATGGAGACCACCATGGCACATGCTATAGGACCGTATCCTTCATGTGCTACATTTGATATCTATGCAATTAAATTAGCTGAGCTGTTGTTGTTCTCTGGTTGTTCACCACTAACCTGTCATTTCGACCCAAGCTTTGAACCGGGTAGAATAATTCTAGTAGGCTGTTTGGCAGGGCATTTTAGAAAAAGGAATACTCTGGGATATTTTTCTTTTCAAATAGAGAATCTATAATGTAGATATGATTAGGAATTGATCGTCAAAGACCAAAAAGATGTAGATCTATATATTCAATCTGGCCAATTTTCAAGTTTGAATTATTGGAATAATTTTATGATTGTCTGGTAGTTCCTGTTGCAATTTTCAGATCCTCTTTAAATAAGGCCCACAATTGCTAGGCCATTCTTATTTAAGCAACCACGTATAGCATGTGTGGTCACCACAACCGTACCCTGTGGAAGGTTATTAAGCACATGGACCACCATATGCCTCTCGGATTGCCTGCATTACCTCGAAAAACTGTAGGATAGCCTGTTTTTATATAGATAGATACAGCATTTTCTGGCTTAAACTTCTAACGATCTGGTTGTTCATTGGCTAAATATATAGAGGTTTAGCAAATGTGAACTGTAAAAGAACAAAAATGTTAACTGTAGGAACAGAAGAACAGATATACTAAACATTCTTATCCCTTTGTGTTATTCTCTATAAATGATCTCAGCTTTCATATGGTATAATGTATTCTCGTTCCTCTTTTTTTTTTTAATGTTAACTTGGCATGGGTGGGAGTGGGACTGGAACTCTTGACGTCACGCTGTAGCTCTACCTACCCTGTTCACCGTGGCAAGAGCCCAATATTTTCTGGATTTTATGCTATGAGACAATTTATCTTTGTTACAAGGAGGTTACAATTGCTATTAGCCATTAGATATCGAATTGGAATGTTGGATTGTGTCATGAAGTTAGAGAAATTATTTTTGAATTGTGAATCTAGTTAATGACACTTGGAACCACCCAATTTGAAATCTGACGAACAAGAGTGATTGTTATCTCCTTGTATAAAAAATAAATGGTCTTTTTATATACTTTTCCATTCTTTCTCATTCCTTGTTTTTTTAAGAGTTCTCTTGATGATTTGTCTCATTTCAAGCTATGGCATGAAATATAGATAGCCAAAACACATCAAGACTTTTTTTAGAGTGATTAAAAAGTCTTGAGTTCTTTCGATTGGGTTGGCATATCTGTTCCATGAAGACAGATAATTTATTTTGAAATGTGAAAGGTACACGTCTCCAATTCTTTTTTCTAGCTCTTTGCATGTGGTATTTTTTCATCTATCCCTCTCCCTAATTTTGTAATTTATGATTATTAAGCTTTACTGATCAACAACTGATGCTTTTTTCTATTTTCCATTTGGTTATTAACCAGCAACTTTTCCATTTCAATTTTCCTTGTCACACAGCTCTACTTCAAGTCCAAGGATGTGTATAATGAGAGGTGGCAGAGCGCTTGGGTCGTTCCTGCCTTTTGGCAAGTCATCTCTTTGTCTCTCCTCTGTGTGATATGCACCCTTTGGGCACCCTCCCAGAACTCTACCCGGTAACTTCCCTTTCCCCCACGAGAGAGAGAGATACGCCAGCATCCATATTGGTTATGCTGGGCCTTGCACTTTATCTGTTTCTCTTAGATGGGTTTCTACTTTTTCAGATATGCATATTCTGAAGACGTTAACGAGGATTTTGATAGAGAGGAGGGCTTTTCTCTGATCAAGCCAGCATTTGTACATTCCAAAGATAACCAGGTATCCCCTTTGATGGATAGAAGCACAGTGAAGGTGGGTGAGGTCTTCCCACTTAATGAAGGCTCAGAAGAGGACAAGAGAGAGTGATTGGATTCACTGATCCGTTGGATTTTCTGGCCAGTTTTGGGGGGAGGATTCTTTGTGTGATCCCTTGGGGTTTTTATGAAGAACTCGATGTGACTTTGGCTTACCCCAAAATTTGGATAAGGTAAAGAGGTCTCTCAACATAACAGGGATTTAGGGGACTGCGACTTTTTATTTTTCGTTTTGTAGCTTTATTTTTATTTTATTTTATTATTATTTCTGTTTTTTGGGAGAATTGTCTTGTCGAATTAAACTTATTTTTGTGATAGTTTCAGATGATTTTGATATACTAGGTTCCTTCAGTTTGGAATGAATTGTAGGTCTTATGAAAAGCGGAAATGTTTGGACAGTGGATCAACTCTTGTTCAAGTTCTAAAATAACCCCAAAGGTTCAAACTTGAAAAGAGACTTGCCCTCATGGTTTGTGTATCTGTGTGCTTGTACCAGAGAGAGAGAGAGAGAGAGAGGGAGGCCAAATGAATCAACACTAACCACAATCAACACTCCAGAAAAAATGGTTTCAAGTAAGCGTAAAGAAGCAGATATCTATTTTACAACTGTCAAGGAGTTGGGGTTGGGCTTGATTGGTTAAGGTGTAGAAGATTGCCATGCTTTGCTCAACAAAACCAAGAGTCCAACATTTACAAGAAAAACAAAAAGTATGCACAGGGCAAGGCATCAGGTTCGGCCTCATCTCTTAGGTCTCATTAATATTGAGAGGTTTTGGAAGAGGATTATCTACCAAATGTTATTATATTTCTCACTCCTTTCATGTTGAGGGAGAGCCCTCATACTAATGAGGGCAACAAATAGGGGTGGCTAGGCCCTAGGTCAGCCCTAACCCTTAGAGCAGGCTTTGGACTCGGCCCTGATAGGGCTGAAGAGACCCTGGTTCTGTCAGGGCCAGGTTGGGTTGGGCCAAATAGAGTAAAGAAAAAAGAAAAACAAAAAGTGTCGGGCTGGGTGAACCGGGCTGGACTCGAGGGGCCATCGTGGCCCTGGCATGGCTTGACCCTGTCTTCAGGCCATGGTGGCCCAGCCATGGAGGCCCATCCGGGTCGTTGATTTGATATACCCAAATTTTGAAACATTGTGGAGTCCTGCGAGGACTAGTGTAGGACCTCATGGCTATGATCACCAGTGGGTTTTGGCCTTTAGAGATAAAAAGGAGGGCAAAGCACATTGAGGTGAGACAATGACCCCCCACCCCGAGAATAGATGAACTTTAGTTTGAAAAATCAACCATAATTTGCACTGGTTAGTCACTAGTTGACCTGGATAAATAGTTGACCAAGTGCGTATTGTTTTTAAGAAAATTATAGCGTCTGCATTGTGCCGATTTTGAAGGGTGTACAAGCACCCTCCCAGTATGTCAAATTAAAAGAAAAGAAAATAGATGGTCTGCATTATAGTGTTTCATTTTTAGGAAAGCTTTCTATCTAACCTCACCCACATATATATAATACATGGGACCTCTTATTTTAGCTATCAGATCTGAGTAGATGGTTGAGATGGCTCGAGTCACAATATCACAAGTTAGCTCTTAATCGTCAGATCTTGATCAGGCGGTTCATAGTTTTTTATATTTAATTTTTATTCTATAAAGCAAAATTTGGGGCATATATGGATCTGACAAGGTAGACACGATAAAATATTTATGGTGATGATAAATTATTCAGAATACCCCTCAAAATTTCAGAGGCATTTTGGTTATTTCTTTTTATGGGAAATTTTTTTTTTTCAGGTTCGCCCTAATTTAATGATGGGATGCCTAAAATTTTATCCAAAAAAATTGTTTTTAGAAATAAAAAATGAAAAATAAAATAGTGTTTGGCATGAATAATCATTGCCATTGATTCAAATCAAACGGCTAAGAAGTGAGATCGCAAATAACTTATATGTTGTTGGGTCACACATAAAGCTTTTCCTTTGTTTTTTTGTTTTCCTACTGATCAAATTAACTTGAATTTGGGTGTCCACAAACCTGAATGAAGTGCACCTAAAAATGAATATAAAAAGATTGGCAAAAAACAATTTGAACAAGACCCCCAAATTTTTAAAGGCGGTTTTGCACAATTTATTTTTCAGGTTTTTTAAAATATTTTTGGATGAACATAAATATGGCACAAACCCCTTCAAAATTTCATTTCAGTCTCATTAGTAGAAAAAAAAAAAAAATACTATATTAAATCATGGCTATCCTTTTTTTTTTTACTATCGTTTTAAAGAAGGGGAGAGAGTTTTGAGGGGAATGTTGGTGTGTGAGGGAGATAGAGGGATGGTCTTCGATTTATTAGGGCTTCAAGCGGCAGCTGAGAGCATTGGGGAGAGGGGCATAGAGAGAGAGAGAATTGGCAAGGAATTGATAAACAAACGGAGCACGTATACTATGCTCCCGTGGGAGCATAGTTTATTTCTACTCCCTGTTTCTTTCAATATGAAAAAATGGTAACCATCTTTTAATCTCTAGATTATTATTTTCAAAAAAATAAATAAATTGAGATTTGAGGTTTCTAACTCTTAGATCTCACTTTCTAAAAGTTGGACGATTTCAATTCAAGCTTGAGACATTATGTTTTTTCAAGTGCTTAGAGAGTACAATTATAATTTTTTATCGATGTTAATCTATGTGCTAAAGATATCATATCTCTAATATTTAGGTTCGTAAAACTAATTGGGGCTAGGGAGTAAATGAACCATATATCTCGGAGGGAGTAAAATATCTTTTTGGAGAACATTTCTATGTAAATTAGCCTACAAAATTAAAACGTGTCCGTAATAAAAAAAAAAAAATTCTAAGGAATCAATCAAAACATTAGCATAATTTACTGCAAAAGAAATAGATATTTACAATTATGTCTAACTAAAATCAATGAAAAAAATTTATAAAAAACAAAGAAATAGATATTTACAATTATGATAAAATCAACGAAAAAAATTATAAGAAACAAAGAAATAGATATTTACTAATTATGATAAAATCAACGAAAGATAATTATAAAAAACAAAAATACACGATAAAACACTCTACATCAAAAGATGACCGAACTAAAAACAGCTTTGCAGTGTGGTTAAGCTTTCTGGTGGAATATCATAATAAATGATAATACCCTAATAAATTATGATTCCCTCTCTCAGTAAGTTGAAGTTTATAATTATGAGCACTAATAACGCTTCATACTTCCATTAGTTGATAAAGAGGGTGATTAATTAGCATTATTGGAATCCTTTTATTTACAAAATTTCCTTTTATACGTAATTCACTCTAATATCATGCGAAGCCAAATTTAAAATAAAAAAACTAAAACTAATATACCATTTCAATATCGTCCGTTGCCCAAAAAAAAATTATTACATACTACTTTACTAACCAAACTTCTCTAAGTTTTTCAAATAAACACCTCCCAATCTTGTCTAAGTTTCAAATAAACACCTCCCAATTTTTTTTAGGTTTTTCCGTTTTTGAATTGGTTCTAATAAATTAAATAAAAATTATATGAGAAAGGATGGTAAGGCTTTTATAACACAAAACAATAGAAGCATGTTATTCCAAGTCCTTTCATGCTCATGGGATTTCAAGTCATTTTATTCTAATAAGAATCAAAAGATTGCAAAAGGTGTGGGTAGTTAGAGACTTAGCGGTAATCATGCAAAAGGAGTGCTTAGGTAGTATAGTAGTCATGTGGACTACACACCCACCAAACACCAAGTTGGAAGATTTTTTTATCATTTAAAAGTTTTCGAAGTTGTTGTTTTTTTCACCTTACCCTAGTTAGATAAAAAATGCAAAATACGTTTGTCTAAAACATTTAACATCAACATAGAAAATATGAATTTCTTTCAATCCAAAAGCTTTAAAATCTATAAATAAATGTAATAGAGCACAACAACAATAAAATATAAAAAATATGAATTTCTTTCAATCCAAAAGCTTTAAAACTATTAATAAATGTAATAGAGCACAACAACAATAAAATATCATGAGAACTTAGAGTCAATTATTTAAGAGAAAGGTTTCTATACTTCCTCTACAGCATAGAAGTTCTATCCTTCCTCTACAGCATAGAAGTTCTATCCTTCTTACCATCCAGCCACCCAATTTTGATCAAAAGAGCCACTCACTCTTTGATCTTAGATTCGGTCTCAAAGTATTTTATTTTTAGTTTTTTTTTATACAAATTGTATGAACATGAAATTTGGTACCTGTCATCTTCTCATTAGGGTGCACCTATAAAAAATATTAAAAATACTTTTTCGATAAAATATAATGACTAAAATACCCCTTGAATCTTTCAGAGGTATTTTGGTCATTTTATTTTATCGAAATTTTTTTTTTTTATATTTTTCCACTAGTGCGAGTTTAATAGAGGAATGGACTTCCAAAATTTGATGTCAAAATAGTTTATAGAAAAAAAATTAAAAATAAAATAATGTAGAGACGTGACATTATGATTTGGAGCAATCTTAGCCCTCCATTTAGATTGGACAGTTGGATAAGGGGAAGTATATAAGTTTTATGCTGTAGGGGAAGCACATAAAGCTTGTGATGACCTGAAAATTTATTTTCATTTCTTCTATATATGGTACACGTGTTTATAAAATCATTGTTTTTTGCTAAAATATTTAGGGGAAGTATATAAGTTTATAAAGTCATTGTTTGTTGCTAAAAAAAAAAGAGATCCAACTATCAAGCATGTAAGAGCAAATCCAGTTACAGACAAGGTTTTATACAATGAGAACGAACAAAATATTATATAAGAAAATTGATATATAGCAGTCAAAGATATATATGGACCGTAAACTTTCACCTTATCTTTTCCCACCCTAGAATTAAAAGAGAAAATTTCAACTTTTCTAATAAATGTATGTATTTTTTCCAATGTATGTGATTTTACCACCTGAAACATGGGTGGAATTAGTAACTTTCCCTTTTTGGGCAACTAATATTTTAAACTAATTTACGATATTTATTTACCATGTTGGCATGTTGTTCTTAGTTGGAATATAGAGAAATTTACAAAATTTATTTACCATGTTGGCATGTTGTTCTTAGTTGGAATATAGAGAAATTTACAATATTTATTTACCATGTTGGCATGTTGTTTTTAGTTGGAATATAGGGAGAATACATGGAGTGAGAGGATTAAATGTTTTTAGAAAGCATATAATTCATTCGGAAAAAATTAGGCACGGCACTAATAGGCGATAAGCTGAGAGAGAGAGTAGACTTAGGTGAGTTGGCCATGTGTGGCGTAGACCTAGTAGTACAACAAGTGTTAAGAGATGTGAGTTAATTCAAGTGGAAGGCTAAAAAAGGGCAAGAGTATGCCCAAAAGAACATGATTAAAAGTATTGAGAAAAGATACTGGGGACTTATGACGTTACTGAAGGTATGCCTCTTAATAGAGCAGAATGACAGAGAAGAATTCGTGCAACTGACCCCAATTAATTGGAGTATGATGATGATGATGATGATGATATAAGTTTTGAATCTAAAAAGGGAGAAAATTGTGTTTTTAGGACAGGTTTGGATTTCTGGAAAAAGAAATTTGGAAATTCTTAAGAGTGAGATTGTAAGAAATGGCTTTTTGTGGTATGTACATTGCGTTTCTTCTACTCGAGGTCACATGTCCACTTTTGCACTCACATGTCCTCATTTTTGTGTCTTAAAATGTTGACCTCATTCTGCAGTTTCCCTTTAGCCATGTCTTAATTGGTTTCCTCAGCAATGGTATTTCCAGCACAAATAAGCCATTTTGGTGTGTAATAATTGTTAGGGGTGGTTCAGACCATTAGTGTTTTCACCAGAGATTAAGCATAAGATTTGAAGTGAAAGGTTTCTAGTATTGAAGGGCCATGAGAATATACTAAAACTTTGTCCCGACTCTTTAACTTAACTATGTAGTATATAAAGAGACCATTTAATTTAGTACAACGAGGTCACAACCATTTTTATCCATAAAATTTCAAATTAAATGGTTGTAAATGTACTGATGACTAAATTCAAAGCCCAACAAATTTTTTTTTTTGAACTTTGCGACGTATCCCAAGCCATCTATTTGAACATCTAATGACTAAAATTAATTGTGACTTCTTTGTACTAAAGATAAATTGTATTATAGTATACAATCCCATAAAAGTACCCAAAAAGACCAATTTTATTGCCTGAACTTTCACTTTGTGCAATGGGAGGAGAACAACAAATTGCTTACCAATCAAAATTTTGGTCTCCGTTTCTAATGATCCCCATGAAACCAATATTTTAGAGAGTTACTGGTGGGTTTCATATCAGAGACACAGGCTTTGTTCCCTACATTCTTTCATTTTTCCTAATTCATTGGCTGAAGGATAATGCTCTGTATTCTCATGGTAGAGACTTGGTAACTTCTTTTGCAAAGCTCTTCTTTGGATTGGTAACTAAACCTTGCATGAATTAAATTAAACAGAAATTTAAGTGATTCCCAATTTTTGATTTCTTATGCATAATGTCCTTTGCTCAGGAGTTAAAAGAGGCAATGGCATATCAATAGGCAACTTAAAAGGAGTTTTTGCCACATTATTTTGATTTGGACTTTCCTTCGAGGTGCCAGTACTACCAGCCACATTTGACAGGAGGCATATTTGTTTGACATTATCATTTACAATTTGAGTATAATTTGATATTTTCCTTTTCTTGAGTATCTCATGGCTTTTTGTAGCTTATCTCTCCAATAGCTTAATAAGCATTTTATCTCGCTTAATTTGCTGGTCACCTCTTTAGAAATTCGGAATTTCAGTCGATCGTCTAGGATTCATTGAAATACCATATTATTGGAGCTTCTTGTTGCCTTTCACTATTGGATTTTCTTTTGAAAAAAGTTTGGATAAGGTTGCAATCTTAAAATACAGAATCAACTTGCACCTCAAAAATCCATCATAAAAGGTTGTTTTGATGTTGGAAAAACCTCTGATTGATCATCTCAATGTCAAGATATGTAAATATGAAAAGAAAAAAAAAGATTTCGAATCCTACAAATAATATATCTTACGACACATTATCTAGACCATTCATTTTCAATATTTTCATTGTATTTATAGATCTACTTGATTTAAACAATTTTTAGAGTTTAAAATTTTATAATTAAAGAGGAAAATAGATTATCAAGCCATCCTAAGAATTATTTACACCAAATTTACATTTATGATAAAATTTGGAGCTCCGCCTTAATTTGATTGTTTAAAGTTGCAACCTTATGCAAACCACACACCCTTTTCTCTTTTTTTTTTAGTAAGAGTTACTTATCATTGAGATTTGTCATTATAAACAGGATTATATTTTGCAGTATATATTTATTTTGTAAACTCACCCCGAGTTTTACATATTGCAACAAGTTCTGACTAAAAAACAGGAGAGGGGGGGGGGGATGCAATTTTAGTCAGCTATAGCAAGATATTCGATGAAAGGTCGAGCATTAGGGGCAAAGGAGAGTAAATGTGACTGCTTTGCCAACTCAAAGTCATCAAATTGGAAGGCGGGAGAACAAGTGCATCCAACCAGTGAGAAATTGAGCTCAGGGTCCCTCCTTGGAGCCTTTAGTAGAGAGCTTCCATCTGATGAGAAGGTCTCGATATCCTTGCTGGGAAAAGAACCAAACCAAACATAGGGCCGCACCACGTATTGGAGCTTTTGGCTGCTGGCTAAGTCAGGGCCTAAGACGGTGAATTTCACCTTGCCGTCGTCTCCAAGCTCAACGACCTCATCATATGCCAAAAAGAGAGATAAAAGACTAAAAGATGTGTTCTTTTATTGGGCAATATTTTTTTTGAGAGATCAAGAGAATAGATATTTGGAAGATTGAGAAACACTAAATAGCTGGTGCCAACATTCAAGGCATGTCACAGATGGGCCATGAACGATTAACTAAAAAGAATATGAAGAAGATCTAAGGAAAAGTCTGGCCAATATAGTCATACACAAGAAAGAAGAAACTAAATAGGAAAACATTGACAAATATTATGGGTAACCTACACTTTCAAAAACAAAGACACCTACTTTCTTACCCTCCTTCTACATAGGAATGAGCTTGTATGTGTGTGTGTAGGGAAGTGATTCTGTAGAAAAATGGTGTACATGCCTTGTATGACAGCTCCACAACTGTTGGATCCCATCCAACCTTCAGATGTGTGTGTAACTACATTAACAAATGACTAAGGGTGCAATTTCCATACGGACGCCTCCGTAGGTGTGGAGGTATGGTGCCCTTCAAATTTTATCATGGTATATAATTTTGATGTAAAATGTTATTAGGATTATCTCAAAATCTATTTTTATATCTAATAAATTTTAAATTTAAAAAATGGTCAAAATCAAGTAGATCTATAAACATATGAAAATCTTGAAAATGGACGGTGCAAATAATATGTTGTAAAATGAACTATTTCTGAGACTTAAAATCTTTTTATTTTTCATAGTCATACATCTCGATCTTGAGATGATCAATAAAGGGTTTTTCAACATTAAAACTACATTTTCCGATGGATTTTTGAGAGGCATTTGTAGTTCTACATTATAAGGTAGCATCCTTATATAAACTTTTTCCAATTACTAATTGAATCCCTATTCACATCTCTGAAGGTTGGATAGCCATCCAATTTTCTTCTAAACAATTTCACAAGAAAAGAGAAGTTACTCACTGTGAGCGGGTCCCCCATGTAAAAATGCCATGTTTCAGCACAGGGAATGCGATGGATAAGGGAGATGTTGCCAGATGGTAAGAGGAAGTAGATGTTGGTGCTGATGGGCCGGTCCACTTTGTCTGGAAAACACGCAGAACAGTATCAAAACAAGCATCGAGAAAAAGAAGCCCAACAAACTTCCTAGGAACTTTGGCAACACTAACTGAAACTCCAAGTTGCATTAAAAACTGGAATAAAGGAATTCAGTAAAGCTTTGAAGTAATTCACAGATCAATTGATGGTGATAATAACTTTTCTTTTTTGAGAAACTTAACTTTGAATTAAAGGATGTGAGTGCAAGAAACTGGGTGAACCACAAGTGGGTGTCCCAGGGGAAAGAAACAGAATCAGAAGGCCTTCTTTTAAAAGGTTACAATCGAAAGAGAAACCCAAAAAAATATGGCGATCCAAAGAGACATGCTAGTTTCCTGCCAAATATGCCACTGCTTTAGCGAGGGTGTCGGCTTCCTGGTTTCCTTCTCTCCAGATATGTCTCCAAGAGATGTGCATGTCCCTACAAAGGGATTCGATCTCATCAAAATACCGAGCCAAGCACCAGGGAGGTAGGGTGGAGGAGGGCGTCATCCAAGAGATGATGTTCTTGGAATCTCCCTCAATAGTAATAGAGAGGAAGGATAGGGATTGAACTTGCTTGAGTTCTTCCAAGAGGACAACTGTTTCAGCCTCCAAAGAATCAGCATGACCTATAGGTTTAGAGATAGAGGCCATGGTTGTACCAAGGTGGTCCCTGACGATAGCCCCTACTCCCGACGGCCCAGGATTTATGACGGAACATCCATCGAAGTTTAGCTTAAGATTAACAATAATAAGACTAACAAGGAAACAGTAACAATAATACAATATAATTTGCCATGAGAACGAAAGAACAAAGTTCACTAAAAGATGTACTGCTTGAGTCCATTGGATATAGTTTCTTGTCAAATGCTTTTTTAATTACCGAAATTGTTTTTCTCTTCATCCACTGCGAAATTTCATCTGCCCTCTGGTCTGATTTGCTCCACCTCTTCAACGGGCGTTGGATAACTCCTCAGTTGATTCCCCACCAATTCTCTACCTGCCTTCACACCCCCTGGACTAAAGCTGGCAACTTACTTTGGAGGGCCTCCATTGCTGCCACCCTGTGGGCCATTTAACTTGAAAGGAATAGCAAAATTTTCAGGGGGTAGAAAGCCTCGATAGAATCTTTGATAGATAACTGTCGAACACTAGTTTCCTTCTGGCCTCTGGTCTGATTTACTCACATATCTCCATCCACTGCGAAATTTCATCTGCCCTCTGGTTTGATTTGCTCCACCTCTTCAACCGGCATTGGGTAACTCCTCGGTTGATTCCCCACTTATCCTTTACCTGCCTTCACACCCTCGGGACTAAAGCTGGCAACTTACTTTGGAGGGCCTCCATGGCTGCCACCTTGTGGACCATTTGGCTCGAAAGGAATAGCAGAATTTTCAGGGGGGAAAAAGCCTTGATCCAGTCTTAGATAGATAAATGTCGAACCCTAGCTTCCTTCTAGGCCTCAAACCACAAACTCTTCAGAAACTTCTCTTTTGCTGACCTCCACCACAATTGGCAGGCCCTCTTGAATTTGAGGCTCACAGGATATCTCATGCTTCTTTGTGGACGCCACCTAAACAAGGGCAATTAAGCTGAATTTTGACAATTACTCTCTTGACAACCTGGGTCCTTCTGGAGTTGGGGGCATTTACAGAAATTCCGAGCGCTCTGCCCTACTCCCCTTTTCCTTACCTACTGGCTTTACGGATTCCACTATGGTGAAGGCTGTTGCTTTACTAGAGAGGCTTCGAAGATTTGACCCTAGCTGGAATACTGATTTGGCAGCAAAAGGTGACTCCAGAAACATCATCGCCTGGCCTCTGGGGCCGCTTCATGCCCTTGGAGACTTGACCAAATCTTCCATGAAATTTCATAAATTTGCATTACTTTACGAGTTACTTGGAGACACTTTTAGGGAAGCCAACAAAGATGCCGATGCTCTAGCTAGGGAAGGAGCAAGTCTTAACTTCCCCATGGGAATTGTAGACATCTTTTAAAGCCTGCATCCTCCTTTTCTTTCTAGTGTAGAGCATTTTTTGGGCCCCTTGAGGGTTTTTCTAGAGGGCACCCTTTGACTGGGTCGCCTATTTTTTGTATATGGTTTTGATTGTACCTCCTTTTATATTCAATGCAATAGTCAACTTAATCAAAAAAATAATAATTACCAAAAAAAGTTTAACACTAACATAAAATTACAAAGAAACCTGAAAACAGGAAAAAAAAAAAAGAGTTAATATATGCAAAGGCCACATCTCAAGACTTCAAAAAAGGATGTGAGAGGGTATTGAACTAGGAACATTTCAATTTGATGGATAGCAGCAATGGCTAGGAAAAATCCAAGAAAGTTAGTCTATGTATCGGAGGAGCTCAGAATCCATTACATGGGTCAAGAATGTGTTTGTTGCCAAGGCTCCGACTTCTAAAAAATGTGGTCAATAAAAATGATGCCCCAGCCAATGTTTTAAAATACAAAAGAAAAGACCACATAAGGTCTTTTCATTTGTATTGTCCTAATAGCAATCAAGCATTGACCTGAAGGAGTAAAAGAGAGGAACCAATGGCATCCACAAACAAAGCCTTAGCAACTACATGTTTGCTTAAATTGGTTTTCTTTTCTTTTCTTTTTTTATTGTTGTGGGAATTGGGGGGTATGGGGGGAAGATGTGCTGCAGCTATCATAAACAAGTGAGGGGAGCTCAACCTCGAACGACCTGTGGTCGCTCTGCACCATATTCCATAAAGGCCACCCTCATAGTTTCCATTAAAATCATCACTACTTCAAAATGGTGAAAAGACTGGCTACTTTTCAATATGGAAGAGTTCTGCAACGGAACTTTAATAATAAAGCAAAGACAAGAAATTTGGGAATCATCTATGGCGATAAATGTGTGCTCAACTTGTTAGGCATAAGGTTGACACAGAGAAAATATTTAACACCATGGAGAAATAACCAACCAGAAACTTCCTATATGGTGGTGACCTACATTCCCAATCTATGAACACACCGGATGCTGCTTTCAATTTCAGCAAGTATGAAAACTATCAGCTTCAAGGCAATTATGGACAAGTGTGAGGATGATTCTCCTTCCAGATATAACCACTGTACGTCAACAATCACACTTGCACTGGATTTTCAACACTTCCCTCTATGCAGACGAGCTTGCAAGAGATCCACTTCATGTTACCCAAGAAGATCTCAACCTGCCTTGACTCCTAGAGCACTTAAATCTCCTAAAAATGAAAGTTAGAAGGGATTTTCCTACTATCTTTTAAGCATCAATATTTAATTAAAATTTGCAAAAAGTGAGATTCTAAAACTTATAAATAAGGCAATTTGTAGAACAATTTCAGTAACTATAGGCTGAATTATACTAATGAATGTGACTTCCAAAGAAAGCCTTAAGTCTTACAAAAGTTGATGGAGTAAAGGTGATAGGCAGCATAAGGAAAATGATAATTTTAACAATCCAAAGACAAGCACAGTCAGAAGAGCTTCGCACTGAAATCAAATTAAGAAGTCCAAAAACAAATTTTAAGTTCCAGACAAGAAGAGCAATGACAGTAAATACTAAAATCAACAATAATAGAAAAGAGAAACATGAGGGAAAGGGAAGTGCTTCACCTGTGACAGCACTTACAGTTGGAGAGGTCCTTAAGAATACCTTGAATCTCCATTTAATTCATCTTTTAGTGGACAACATTGGAGCTTTAAAGGGTATGGAGGAGATTCCTAGATGTTGGGATATGGAACCACATTTAGTAAACTGGGCTGGTTGAGAAGGAATTGCAGGAATAATGATTGCTCTCAAAGGTAGGCATACTTGCGATACTTTCCCTGGTATATAAATTTAATTATTAGGCCTTAGATCATGCAGTACCTCGCCAACCAAGTCAAATTCAGAGAATTGGGCTGGCATTAAACTTCAAAGGTTCTCTCCTTTTACTTTTTAGTCTCACTAAATCCCTTTCTTCTTTATCCTAACTACAGTTTTTACTCTTCTAATCTCATAGACCAAAGTCCAGCAGATTCTTTCAGAGTTTCCGAAAGCCACACCGGATTGCCAGGAAGAAACAATAGTGGAGGACTGTTAAAAATCATCAGCTTTACCGTCAAAGAGATAAGATGGGCCTCATCAACCATCAAAGCTAATAATTAACCCAAGAAAAAAAAAAGGGAAAAAGTCCATGTATAAGATGTCAACCTTAAATGATTGAAGTAAGATGCACCTCAAAAATCCCCTAAAAGAGGGTGTTTTGATGTCGGAAAACCCTTCAATTTGACCATCTTAACCTCAAGATGTATGAATATGAAGAAAAAGGATTTTAAGTCCTAAAAATTATACATCTTGTAGTAAATTATCTAGACTGTCTATTTTCAAGATTTTTAAGTGTTCATAGATATGCTTGATCAAAGGTTATATTGACATGGGTGAGAGATATGTACGACGGAGAACTAAGAAGTGTGAGGAAAACTAGTGGAGAGACAATTGAGTTTTCAGGGACAATAGGCCTACATTAGGGATCATTGCGGAGCCCATATCTCTTTGTTTAGGTTATGAACGAGTTAACTAGGCACCTACAAAATGAGGTACCGCGGTGTTTGTTATTTACGAATGACATAGTTTTGATTGACGAGATTAGAGGTGGCATCAAGGCAAAGTTAGAATTTTGGAGGGATGCTCTAGAATCTAAAGGTTTTAACATTAGCCGGACTAAGACAGAATATAGAGAATGCAAGTTTAGTAATAATAGGAGTAGAAACGAGGAAGTAGTTAAGATTGATGGACAAGAAATACCTAAAAGAGCCTCCCTAGAGCATCTGCCCTTGTGGATTGCCTAGGTCTGTTGTACTCATCTTTTTACTCAATTTAAGGTTGACATTATCAAAAAAAAAAAAGAAGTAAAAATAAATACCTAAAAAAGATTATTTTCGATATTTTGGGTTGATAATCGGGGAGGAAGGAGAGAATGAGGAAGATGTCCCGCACAGAAATAGATCCGCGAT